AAATTAATTTAAATTGATTTTAATTAAAGTAGCTATTTTGAGTAAAGTTTATTGTTTGATTTTTTTTATGGCAAAATATTTAATTCAGATTAAATTGTTTTATGTAGAAACTTTTTACATTAGATGCTCGTTGTATATTTATTTTCTCCAAGCTGATTTTTGGTTAGTGAGAAATAAATTAATAAAGTTAGTCATTAATGAGTACGTCAAACGAAGGTTGTAAGATTCGAATTGGCTAGAGTCACTTCCCACATTTAATTCTTAAATGAGATTAACTTTTTTTTCTCACGCGCCCTACCGGCGCGGCTCCGTTCCAGCTCGGGCACGTGTCTAGGTCTGGGACTTGGGAATTGGTACTTGGCAATTGGACTGTGGGTTCAACTTGAGAGACTTTGGACAGTCTGGGCTGGTGATGGGCTTGGGCCTTGGGCCTAAACCCCAATAATCTTTTTGTTGTAAATTTATTTGCAAAATTGGGACTCAAAATAAAATTCAAATCAAGTGGGATTAGGACTCGGGTTTTAACCCAGCCCATGTGACCTTCACTAGGTTCACTAAACCTAGACATGTGTTATCTCTCACCTGACTGTTTCAGTGGTTATCAAGTGCAGTGAAGGTGAGTTTACACCTGAAAAACAACCAGACTGTTTTATGGCCATTGTAGCAGCAATGACTGTGTTGTTACCAGCCCTTAGTGGCAACTAAGTGGTCATTCCCTATGTGGCTAGAAGTCCAATAAATAGAACATGATAGAGATACAAAAACACAACACAATATCAACTGCATCCTTGCATTCTCTCGATCATGGCTTCATGCATATACATACTGCTCAATTCTCAACTCCGTTCGTCGGAACTCGAGAGTCTGGTGTGCTACAGTATTCGAGGCGTCGCCGTTGTATTTTTATGACGAGATACTTGAATCCGTCAGCACATTACAAAGGATAATCTTCTTGTGGAAAGGACAACACTCGCCTCGCATATTGTATTTTTGTTTACAGTTTGTAATTTTATTTTCTATTTTTAGTTCAATTTGTAAAAACTGAATCACACACTAACTGTAACAAATAATGTATGCATGAACCTAGAAATATTTATTGCCCCCATTTCAATGAACTTCTTCATCGCTTTATGGAAACTTATGAATTGGAATATCATTAAAAGTGGTTTCACTATGCCGTGAGGACATCATAAAAATTGACCACATTATAAAGTTGTAAGCATAAAATCATCAACAAAATGAAATCTTTTTTTCTTTTTTTTTTTTAAGCTCTAGCGACACGTTATAAAACACGAGCCTCGTCAAATTACAATGAAAATTTTCAAATTTAAATAGATATTTCAATGTTATGGCTTTTACTAAAATATTTTTAGCGACAATTTCAATAAAATATTTTCGTTAGAATTAATTTTCTATTCGAATTTTATAATTGGATTTTGAAGATTCAGATGACAGATTTAAATGAATTTAATTATTAACAAGTCAAACAGTTTCAACCAAATTACTCCAAAAAATTTCGTAAGAGTAAAACATTGGAATAAATGTGGTTAGGATATTCATTATAGTCCAATTAAAGTTTTAAGTGAAATTTTACAATAATTTAGTGTATATCTTTTTGAAAATGTTCATTGGAATTTTGCAACAAATCCGATAACAATAAAATATTGTAGAAATTTATGTTAGTGTAATTTTTTCATCGAATTTTTTATATACAAAAGAAGTGGACATTTTTCTAGAGAATCCCATCTATGGTTATCATTTTTTTTTTTTTGAGAAGTATTTCTCTTAATAAAAATAATATAAATAACCCGACCTTTTAGGTGTTCCATTTTTTCTTTTTATTTATTTTTTTCCCCTTAAGTGGGACATTGACATTTAGCCTATAAGTATATATCACAATCTTTTAAAAGTAAAAGGTTGAAGTCAGATTTCACTACCATTAGATCAGCCAAAATTTATAATTGATATCTATCTATATATAAAAAAGTAGTTGAAATAAACTTTTTAGAAAGTTTTGACAAAAAAAAAAATAATAATAATAATAATAATAAGTTTGACATTCTATTTCTAAAATTCTTGAAAGATTGCATAACACACATTAGAATATGTGGACGGTAGATTAAAAGTCATATTCGAATTCAAATTTTGAATAATGAGGGATTATTGGAATTGGATAACTCCACAAGAGATAACTCACGTGCATGGAATATATCTTCCCACATAATTTCGGTCAATGTGTGCATGAATATATCTTCCCACATAATTTCGGTCAATGTGCTTCAATATCCTTTCCATATATGTTCGGTCAATACAACATGCTACAAAAAAAAAAAATTATAAAATCATATTCACAACCACCATTATATTTTCCTGTCATTCACTCGCTGAAATATATCTTCCCGTCTTTCACAGAGTTCCTCGCTGAAAAAAATTTCAATTTCAGAATACATCGATACCGTTAGTCTGGGATACACTCGATTCCATGAGTAGGACAAACAAACCATATTTGCGCTTGAGAGCAGTCCGAATAATTAAAATGCATCACGAACGGGAGAGTTGGAACGCATATCATATACTGTTTCATGATGAACAGGTAAATATTTGTATTTGTAATATCAAATTTATATAATTTTAAAAAATATTCACTTAATAGTTATAAATTTATATTGTAAGGTACATTCATTAAAGGCGTAATACGTTCTAAAAATATGGGAGCATTTCGAGGTGTACTCAACGAAGGCGAGGTCTATGCACCGCAACTATGTCGCTGAATTTAATCATGGGAAGAAAGATATCATAACTAACAAATGAAAACTTGTAATTCATGGAAGAACTCATGTTATCAAATATGGTGGGATCAAAATGGCAATATTTTCCCTCAACATTAGCCGTCAGGACATAGTCAATGCTGCCATTAATGCTTCTGACATATGGAGGAGTTGTACTGTGCTTAGGCATACGAAAAACATGTGTCTTCAAGGACTTGCTAATTCGGATGAACGTGATGAGCTTGCACGGTTTGCAGATTGGATAGCCAACATCGGAGATGGAACTATCGGGGGGTCGAATGACGGGTGTGCACTTATAGACATACCTGAAGACATTTTGCTTCAGCCATCTGATGATCCTATTGCTCAAATCATTGAAAGCACATATCCAATGTATAAGGAGGCGCCTGACGATCTAAGTTATTTGAAGGATAGGGCTATATTAGCATCGACGTTGGATGTGGTCGAGTCTATCAATGAGTACATGATATCATTGAATTTGTTGGATGGTCGTATGTACTTGAGCTATGATAGTATGTGCAAATCGGGTTCTAATAATGATTTTTTGTCTGATCTCCATACGCCTGAGTTTTTGAATAATATCAAGTGTTCTGGAATACCGAACCATGAGTTGTATTTGAAGATTGGAACTCCGGTCTTGTTGTTGCGGAACATGGATCATTCTATGGGTTTGTGTAGTGAGACACGATTGGTTGTGACAAAACTATCCGCTCACGTTCTTGAGTGTAAGATACTCACAAGAGATCATGCTGGTGATACGGCGTTGATTTCAAGAATGACCATAACTCCTTCTGATGTTAGAATTCATTTTAAGTTCCAGCGGCGGTAATTTCCCATTATGGTTTCTTATGCCATGACTATAAACAAGAGCCAGGGACAATCCTTATCTCATGTTGGCTTATTTCTTAAAAACCGGTGTTTAGTCATGGCCAGTTATATATTTCTGTCTCCCGTGTCACTAACCGAAAGAGTTTGAAAATCTTAATTTGTGGCAAAGATGACGTGCCAAATAATCAAACCAATAATGTTGTATATAGGGAAGTGTTCAATAATATATGATCTTTTCAGTTTAATTTTATGTTTATATGTCTATTCTTATGATCATGATAATTTTGTTATTACACAATTTATATACAAAGGCATAATTTCAAAATTGGTCCTATAATTTGGCCACGGTCCAAAAAACC